GGACACCGCCTCCCACACCTCCATCCTGTCCTCCCCAGGCCACCACTGACTGACGTCGAAGGCTGCCTTCAGTGCCTGGATGTCCGTGGCCACTCCGGACACGTGGTAGATGCCTACCTCCTCCATGCCTCGGCGCTCGATCTCCTCCACACACTGGCGTACGATGTAGGGCACCTTGGACCTCTCTCTCCTGCAGCAGGAGGGAATGTTCTGTGTCCTGACAGCCCTGCGTGGGCCACACACAGGAGACCTGCTCTATGGAGGTGGAGTGAGGATGATGGTTAAGGTGACTAGGTGTGGGGCTGCACAGAGAACCTTCTGCATGCCTGTGCTCCCTCTGCAAGCCCTGTCCTCATTGCATGTACTGTCTCAGGACCTTTCAAGCAGCCAGAACCCCTGCAAGTCACACATGTTCTTTGTGGGAAGGTCAGGAGGCCTAAGTAAAGTCAGCACAGAAAGGGCATCTGAGAGATTCCAGGCCTGGGGTTAGCAGCCTGTGCCCCTAGCTGGGAGATCAGACCCGGTGTTGGTCCTGCCACCCGCGCGCTGTGTGAGAGGAGAATCCCTGACCCCTGCCCTGGGCCTGGGCCTTAACACACATCCGAGGAATGAATGAAGGGTTGCCTCAGCACCAGCGCTCTAAGTCCTGCGCTGCTAAGTGCTTTTCTCCTCTGAGTCCTAGCACTGAACAATTCCAATACCGCCACACAGGACACTAGAGTAAGAATACTTCAAAGTTAAAACAGAGCGCTGTGCTGAGGCCTTAACTTTAGCTTTGTTTTGCAACTGGGTTTAGGAGCACATCAAAGCTGCTTCTCAAGCCACCCTCATTAGCAGTGGTTATTTGGGGGAGCTGCTGCTGGAGTCCTCACTGCTCATGCCCAGAGCCCTCCCAGAGTGCTATGCAAGTGGCTGCTGTGCAGGTGGGGGTGAGCGTGCTGTTTAGACACAGAAAGGAGTCCGGGGTATGATTGATGGAGGCCCCGGCCCACATGACCAGCAAGTTCAGGGGCCCAGCTGGATTCCAACCTGGGGAAGCAAATGAATTCTCAGAGGAAGTGGTCTGTGTCTGCAAGAACTGCTCTCAAACCAAACAAGTTTCTCTTGGCAACTGACTCGTGACAAAGGGGCAGGGGTTATGGCCATTCAACGGGAACCTGGGACTGTGACAAATTCCAAGCGAGGGCAGAAAACCCTGCACTCGGGCAGTTCTGGAGCCAGCCCTACTGCTTCCAAGCAAGGCGGCAAGGACACTCCTGAGCTGGTGTTGAGTAAACACAGGAGGTAGCTGAACACACCAAGTGTTCCCTGGGGCCTGACCTCACTGTGCAGCGGCCACGCACAGAGAGGAGAGACCCACACATGCTTTTTTCTGCAGAAACAGCTGAAGGGACAGGCGCCCTCAGTGCATGAGCCCAAGCCCCTCCCCACTCACTTGGTGACCACAGCAATCTTGACTCCGAAGACCCCTGTCTGTTTTCGGGACGGCATCCTCTTCAAGTTGAACTCTCTGCTGTTGAACTTGACCAAGAGCTTTACTTCAATCTATAGAGGGGAGAAGGGGCATAGTCCACTAATCCTTCTGGTCCTCATAGCCCAAGGTCCCAAGGGCCCCTTGGAGTCTCATCAAATATTTCCACCCCCAAGGCATGCAGAGGTCTCAGCATGGGGTAGGGCTGCCCCTCAGGGAGTCCCCTAATCTACTTCAGCAAGAGCCAGGATTGTTGAAGATGGTGTAAAGGACTGGCTTCTGCAGAACCACCTCCTAAAATCCCTGCTGCTTCTCTTGGTTGCTTACTTTTTTTAAAATATGGGATCTTGCAATGTTGCCCAGGCTGTACTCGAACTCTTGGGCTCCAGTGATTCTCCTGGCTCAGCCACTAGAGTAGCTGAGACCATAGGTGTACTGTGCCCACTCTCTCTTTCTTAATAACAATTAAAAATTAAGTAGGCAAGACAGAATAGTATAAGAAAAAGCCAAGAATCATCAAATATTAACATTTTACCATATATGCCCAGGCCTTTTTGGGTGTGTCATTGCTTTTAAGGTCTAAACCTTTCTGGGGTACCTAAAGACAAATCAGAGGTCTCCATTTCTACATGCAGTCCCCAGGTCACCGAGTGGAGGCCCCACCTGTCCTGGTGGTGCCATGAGACCTTTGTTTGAGGAAGGATGCTCAGGGCCTGGCTGGCAACTGTATCCCAGTCAGTGAATGACGATTCCCGGGCATGGCAATTCTGCTCTTCGGGGAACCTCCCTCCTCCAACCAGGCTCCGTGTCAGATGCTGGCTCAGGCTCAGCCACCTCTGACCGATTTGAAAATGAAGAGGCCACCCTATCCTTCTGGGGGATGTGGGTACCAGGAAAGTCCCACGGACACGTACCCCATTCATGGTGATGACAGCACACTGTCAGTCTCTGTCCTACAGGGCCTGTGGGTCCAGCTGAAAGCAAGGAGTCATGATTGGCAGAGGCCCTGGCGTCTGCTCAGAGGCTGCACGGGGCAGCAGCCCACACCCGCCACTTCTCCAGTCCTCAGTCAGAGACAGAGCCTGACTGTGGCCAGCATCTCCACCCAGAGGCTAAGCGAGGTAGAGTAAGGAGGGGCCTGCCAGACACCCCTGGAACCCAGGGCCCCACTGCGCCCAGAGCCCTGCTGCCTGGGGCTCCCACCCCCTCCTCCCTCTGCCCCTCCCAGTTGGGAGCTGATGCGCAGGCTGGCAGACTCTCTCCACCCGGCTCCCATCACCACGGGTGCTATGTGGAGCTCAGTGAAAGGCGAGTTGTCCAGCAGCAACTTCAGTAACAACTCCTGGGGGCCTGGTATCCACTGCTGCTGCCTGGGGAACTGTGGACACTGTTCTCCCCCTGCACCATGAACAGCTCGTGGCAGGAGGAGCCTGCAGGCCACACCAGTCCCGTGGTTCAGAATCAGGCCCAGGAGGACCCAGAGCCAAGCCCTAAATCGAGCAGCTGGTGAGGCGGCCGGGAGGAAGCCCCTCTGTGACCCCTCTAACTTCTACCCCCACCCAGCCCTGTCCAGGCAGCTAGCCTGCAGGAACTTGTCCTTAATGTCACCTGAACACAGTCTGTGCTGGTACAAAACACCCTGTCATGACCAAGCTACACGTCCCCTGTCCGTGAAGGCTCTGTCTCCTGTTTTATGGGGAGCACAAGCTCTGTGTCAGCAGTTCCTGGGTACGCAGAGACCACTGGCTGGGCTGGGTGAATGAGCATTACCATCTTGTTAAAAATACACCTTCCTGGGCTCCACCTGTAGAAAACTGGACTCATAATCTGGGTGGGACCTGGGATTTGCACAACTAGAAACCCCAGGTAGTTCTGGAGTGAAGCCAGGTCACGGAGCCACCATCTGACTCCAGACAAGGTCACTGCATCTGGCCTTGTGTTTCCACCCCTTGATGCAGGTGATGGTTCATTTCAGCCACAAGGCAAGCTGCCTAAGAGCAGGGACCACACCTCATGATGTCTGCACACATTCACGTGCACACACACATACACACATACAACGGTGCTGAGCACAGCACCAGGCCTAGAGAGGGGCTGAGGACAGGCATCATGTTCACTCCAAGGGACCCTAGAGACCACAGCCACCTGGGCCTTCTGCAGGTGAAGTGGCTAGAAAATAAGAAGTTCTGGAGCAGGTCAAGGAGCCCAACCAGCTGCCCCTACTTCACAGATGTGTGCACCTGGGCCTCCCTCCCTGCGCCTGCTCAGCACAAAGGCTCACCACAGGCACACCTGCGGGGTGACCCCTCCTCACCTCCCCTTCTAGGTCCTACCAGTTAACGTTTCCCAGGGATCTGAAATGTACAGCCAGAGTGGCACAGAGAAGCAAAGGGTGGCAGGACGTCTCCCACCAGGGGCTATGTGGCCACAGGCTCTCATTCTGCTTCTGGCCCTGAAGGTTTTCAGAGGCCACACTCCCGGCCTCAGGGATCCCACCCTGAGAAGCAGCAGCTGTGAGCAGGGACCGGTCAGTCAGAAGCCACACACAAAAAGGAATCCCTCAAGTGGCACTTCCCCCAGAGTGAACCCTAAGCAGAGGCAGGAGAGGATAACATGAGGGATGGGGACAGAGTGCGCTTTCTCTGGAAAGGGAGAGTTTAATACCCCTGCTGGGAGCTTTAAAAAATTGAAACCCTGCCTGTAATATCAGCACTTAGAAAGGCCAAGGCAGGAGGATCACTTGAGCCCATGAGTTTAATACCAACCTGGGCAGTATAGTGAGACCTTGTCTGTATCAAAAAAAAAAAAAAAATTTTTTTTTAAGGTAGCCAAGCGTGGTGGCACATGCCTGCAGTCCCAGCTACTTGGGAGGCTGGGGTGGGAGCACTGCTTGAGCCTGGTAGGTGGAGGCTACTGTGAGCCAAGATCATGCCATTGCACTCCAGCCTGTGCAACAGAGTGAGATACCCTGGCTCTAACTAACTAACTGGAAACATAGAAACATGTTAAGCAGGAGACATTCTTCCCTTTCCTTCAAAGAACAGCCATCACTGGGCCCCTCTCCCCTTGAAAACTCAGAACTGGCAGAAGCAGCTAACAAGCAACCCAGAGTCCAGGTAAGAAAAGAGACAGAGAAGCGGTCAGACATCAGGCGGCTGCCTCTCTGAGCCCCCCTGGAACCACGGCCCACATGCCAGCCCATTAATGAAATAATAATGAAAACTACTCACATCTAACAGGAGATTAGACATCCAGATAAAAGAGGGTCAAATATCTCCAAACAATGCAATGCAAAGGGTCTTTGCCATGGCAAACTGTAATCAGACTATTTAAAGTCAATGTGAAGATGCAAATTCTAAAACCACCAAGAGAAAAGGATCTAGTCACCTATAAAGCAAACCCCATCAGATGAAGTGCAGATTTTACAGCCCAGCAAATAGAAAACATGTGCTTAAAGGCATAGGAGGCGGAGAAGAACAAGGCTGGAGACAGGCAAGGCCAGCATTCCCCTCAAGATGACAGCCAATCCTGGAAGAGGAGGCTGAGAGACAGGGCAGTGGGTTTTTTTTCTTTCTTTCTTTTTTTCTTTTTTTTTTTTTGAGACGGAGTCTCACTCTGTCACCCAGGCTGGAGTGGGCTCTAGACCAGGTGTGTGGGGACTCACGCCTATAGTCCCCAGCTACTCTAAGAGAACTGAAGCAGGAGGATTACCTCAGGCCAGGAATTTGAGACTAACCGTGAGAGCAATATATTAGGTTTGGTACAAAAGTAAAGTGTGGTTTTTTGCCATTAAAAGTAATAGCGACCCTGTCTCAGCAAAAAAAAAAAAAGAAGAAGAGAAAAAAGAATCAGCTGGCATGTGGCTCACACCTGTAATCTCAGTACTTTGGAGGGCCGAGTTGGGTGGATCACAGGTCAGGAGATTGAGACCCCATCCTAAACACGGTGAAACCGTCTCTACTTAAAAAATATGACAGATTCCGCTGGGCATGGTACTGGGCACCTGTAGTCCCCAACTATTCGGGAGGCTGAGGCAGGAGAATCGGCGGTGAACCCGGGAGGCGGAGCTTGCCAGTGAAGCCGAGATCGCACCACTG